TTAGAAATGGAACAAAAACCCAAAATTTCATCAATTTTGGTTCACTGGAACTATTTTAAATAAGAATGATTACATTTGCAAAAATCAACTTATTAGCGCCCTTCGGTGTCACTTTGTATGGGAGCGAGCTGTCAGTTTGTCAGTTTAGTGTCAAACAGTGATGTTATTATTTTGCTTTAAATATTGATTTAAAAATCAAGATGTGTGAAAGTGTGTGGGTTCGAAAAAAATATCGCTGTGCTCAGAAAATGAAGCTCTTTCAGATGATATATAAAAACCAATATATTTTTCAAAATTGAAGAACCCAATTGGTTTGAGTTGCGTATACTGGAAAACACGAGGGAAAACCCAGTATTTTGTTTTGTTTATTTTGCTGTAATTTAACTGATAAGACAGTTATTTGGTTCATTATTGTACCGTGTTACCCAGTTGTATTAAAAGTAGTGAATGTGCAGACATAAAAGCACGAATCCTGGTGCAATTCACCGTTTATAATATACCAATTAATATGACGACTTAATCCCTTGACGTACCCTGGAACAGTGCATCGACAGTGAAAGCAAAGAATGCAAACATCCATTTTGTTAATCAAAATTTGTTGGAGATCAAGGAACTGCAAAAAGAGTAAATAATAATTGTTGGTACTAACGAAATAGTACTTCAATTTCGCTGTCAAGCTTTCTCAGTTCCATCATGATATAATTCACGATATAATTCATGATATAATTCAAATTTTAACAAAACTGCGCGATTAAACACTTGCTCCCGTATTTTACTGAAGCTAAAATGGCGGCGGGAATAAAATTGACAGGTTATAGTTTTACAATTCGTGGTCGGTAAAACAAGATGGCTATTTTGCTGACCAGTCGGTAAAAAAATAAAGACTACTGTATGCACAATAATTATTTTTACTGACTTTTCGTGAAATCACGAAAATTGGGATATTATTGACTTTCTCAGTAAATAAATATTCTGTGTACAGTATTTTGCATCAAACGATACCGAAGTTCAGTTTGTGTTTTACAGAACGTTGGTTATTCACCTGATTTAAACTGAATTTTCAGTAAATCTTTCGTTTTACGGTGTATGCCCTGTACAAAAAAAAATACCGAACAACTAAATGCTAGATTAGTGTGTACTATCCTCGGACCCAAGCTAATCGATGCACCCCTCGAAACATAGGAAAATCCACGAACCCCTCATTTTATCTGACAATCTTTCAGCGAATCATGTCAGTGTCTCGGAGGATTCGTGGTACAATGAGCTCCTAGAAAAGGTGGAAGATTCTCCAGAAGAGAAGCTCGATTACAAGATCGAAGATGGAAAGCTCTATAAACTCGTTCCTACAAAAACAGATGTTCTAGATTACACCCATCAATGGAAGCTTTGCGTGCCTCAACATTTACGCAGTCAAATGCTGAAACAGGAGCACGACGATGCACTGCACGTCGGGTTTGAGAAAACATTAGACCGTATAAAAAAATTGTACTTTTGGCCAAAAATGTCCGCATCCATCCAGAAGCACGTCCAGCAGTGTATGGTTTGCAAAGAAACAAAACCCTCGAATGTTTCGCAACACCCGGAAATGGGTAAACCCAGATTGGTAACAAAACCCTTTCAAATTTTGTAACCGATGGTTCCAGAATGTGGGCTTGTGACTCTATCACAAGCAGACTCATAATCGACTATAACTGTCGCCGGAGGCCAAAGAAAATGCATCCACTGATGTTTGAGAGCTAGGGGTAAGACAGCTTTTGATAATGAGTCATACTGGAGTAAATTTTGAGTAACTCTGAGTAACTCGAGTTGCTCAATATTCAATGACATAGCAACCTGTTTGTTTTGTGTGCATTCCACGATTGTCAAGAAAAGACGTTTGACGATGAAAAGCTATGTCCATCATTCAACAATATTATATACCAGAATGCCATCCACAAAACCTGTGTCGCAGCATGCAAAATCTGTGTATGCTTATTATTGGTTGACGATGATAATTATTGGATTTTCAAGTGAACATGGAGTTGTACCATAATTTAACGTCTTGATGATGCACATGGTAGGCAATCCATTGTGAACATTTTGGCAGATTGCATACCAACCAACAAAATTCAAAACGTTTCAGTTGCCCATAAAAGTTTCACTTCACGTGGAATCAAAGACTACGGCTTTGTGATTCCCAGGACTGTATTGTCCACGAATGAAAACCGATGTTTTTAATGGTAGTACTTATTGTCTCCCTTCGCATCGCGTTTCACTCGTGACTGTGGAGGGAAATAATCATTGAGGAGTTGCAGTTTTCCATGACGGGCATCTGTTAATATTAAAACCTTTTCACTAAGTTTAAATCGGGATTGATGGAAAGATCATTGTCTAGTCACATATAACAATTTACTGCTCTATAAGAACAATTAAAACTAGAATTCACAACTCATTTTAACTTATTTATATAAGATGCTGAAATTAACAATTGAAATAATACATCCTTGGCAACCCATCATAAATCACGCCAAATATCGGGTTCGTTTCTCGGGATCATATCAGAAATATCTTTTGCTGATTTTCAATTTTATTGTCCATCATAGTTGAGACCACGCATATAAGAGTAAAAATTCACACTGAAAAGAAATACACACGGATTAATGAGTATTTGATGCAAGAATACAAAATAAAATACGGATATGATCACTCCGACACTCTGACAGATAATGTATGTTTATACTAATTTAATTTTTAATTTATGGATGAATATGAGACTGCTTAGATCACTTTTGAGTAAATATGAGTTACTCAAATTTACTCGCTGAGAAAATATTAACTCTGAGTACAGCCGTCTTGCCCCTACACTGTAACTGGCAAGTACCCACTAATGGGTATAAAAGTACCCAATATTAGTAAGTATATGAAGCTGTCAAATAATGGGTATTTGAATATTTTCGAAAATGGGTTCTTTTGTACCCATCTTTTTGACCTCTTCAGGGAAGAAAAATGAGTATTATTTCACCCATTATTGGGTGAAAATTATCTTAATCAATAGTGAATATTGTCTAACACAAAGCATCTTACGAGGCCTTCAAAATGGTTTTTTTTATGCTATCTGTGCCTAATAAAATGAGTATTGAAACGTAAGTATTTATTTGGAATATATCTAGGCGCTGTACATTATGAAATTCAGATGAAATTTAATGATTTTCAATTGCTTAATTTCAGATATACAACACGGAACCAAATTTTCTTCATTTAAGTTAAAAATATATATGTTTATTAAATAAAAATATGAATAGTTCAAAGTAAATTAAAAACATGTTTTCAACAAAAATATGTATGTTTAAATTAAATTCAAAAGCATGTTTATTTCAACAATACATAATCTGGGTAATCAATTTTTAGCGTGTCCTTTTTTCCTTCTTGTTAACATTCGGCAAACTTAACCGAAAACGGCCTGCAAGCGGCGAAACCAAAGTAGAGGGTCCGGAAACCAACGCAAGCAAGTGCTCCAAGCTCGACAAAACCGGTGGAACATCACAATATTAACGTCAATCCGTCGTTTCTGATACTGATCCCCATATCATCCTCACCCCCCACCCGACGTCGAAAGAAAAGCAGATCATCAACGAACACTAAACTTAGAAAGAGGCCGGTATGAGGACCAGCGTCAGAAACGAAAAATGACGCTAATATCACAAAGTTTCACCGGTTTTACTGAACTGGATCTGATCGGACACCCACCCCGACGGCCCCCCGGATCCAAACATCCACAGACTTTCCATAATAGCAGAAATTTCTATTTATTTGCTATCAATTTTATTTTGATTTATTCAGCATTCAAATGCCAAATAATTTCAAAATATGTTTGTTTATTTTAAACATGAAAAGCATGTTTAAAATAAACATATTAATTTTTGATCGCATATAGTTTTCAAATAAATCAAAAATATTCACGTTTATTTTCAACACGAATATTTTTAAAATAAACGTAACATTATTTTTGTTTTAAACATTATTATCAATGAATTCAAACATAGAATACGTTTGAAATCAACCTAGTTTATGTTTGTGGCCAGAACAAACTGAGTTTACGTTTAAATTTACCTCAAATATTTTTGTTTCGACGGTAAATTTTTCTGCGTGGGTGATTTGACGTACAAGCTCTTTACCCATTATTGGGTAAAGACGTTTTACCCATTTTATGAGTTTACCTACTTTACTTCGAATTGGGCACTTTTTCACCCATTAATGGGTGCTTGCCAGTTACAGTGTAGTTTGAGAGCTTTTATTACGCTTCAAAGCTGAAATTGTAACAAAGTTCACTGATAAATTGAACTATTCCCATTTTGCTTGAAATTTAATCAATTTGACATTAAACTCAGTTTAATCATATCGAATGATTAAAAAATAAGCATCTGATATTAATCCCGGTTTAATCATGGTTGATTAGATTGTAGATTATCTGTTTTTGAATAAATTTTAATCATTTTAGATTCTATTTTAATAATTTTTGATTGAATTTTAATCTTTTTTGATTATATATCAGTATTCAAAAAGAATAAAATTTAATACTGGAAAGATTATTTCGATTTTAATCATGCATGACTATTGCCGAAGTAATCATGGCTCGGACTCAATAAGGTGAAGCGGGAAACTGCATACTTTTTAAGCTTTTATGATTTAATTTATCTTTGAGTGTTTATTTAACAATATTGCAAAATGTTATTGAAATGCAAATCTTACAAAACAGTGGGCCTTATCCACTTTGCAGGCCTCCAGAGAATGAGGTTATGTAGTTGGGAATTCTGTGTCTCACTAAAGTTATTAATATGTAATAATTACTTGTCAAAAAGCTAATTATTGTTACTTACATATGATGTGAATGATTGAGATGTACAAAGTTAAAATAATCAAACTATTACAAATTTTTAATAATAAAATAATACGAGGACTCAATCGACGCGTTTCTTTCTTCGCTTTTGACAGCTCTACACTTCCTAGCGGCTAGTGCATGCTCATTCCCGCAGGGCTTCTACACTCGGCAGGGTTGCCGATTCAGCTGCTGCGGTGACATCCTCCCCCGGGTGCATCTTGGCATCTCCCAAGACTGTACTAGAATCGTTGCCTACGTCCAAAACAGCAAGTTTGGACGCTGGGCGCCGCAGCATACCACTGGATGTCCTAACAAAGGCTTGTCGAACTCTTCCTTCCTTGTCCTGGATCACTCTATCTACGCGTCCCCTCACCCATCCATTACGAACGCCATCTTCGGCTATCATCACCAGGTCACCCTCACGCATGGCACGAACTTCGCTGAACCATTTGGTTTGTCGGCGGATTACCGGCAAGTATTCCTTTAGCCATCGTTGCCAGAAAACATCGATCTGGCGTTGAATCTGCCGCCACGTTTCTCGCTGGAACCCAGCGTGATCCTTGATGGTAACCGCAGGCTGCTTAACCCCAGTTGAATTTCCCAGCAGGAAGTGGTTTGGGGTTAGTGCTTCCGAATCTTCAGCATCGAGAGGCAGATATGTCAATGGTCTAGAGTTTACTATGCCTTCCGCTTCCACGACCAGAGTTTGCAATCCTTCCTCATCCAACTTTCCGTCCGAATAAGCCACACCCATTGCTACTTTGACCGACTGAACGAGACGCTCCCACGCACCGCCCATGTGTGGGGCCGCTGGTGGAATAAAATTCCACTTCGTAGAGGCGTTGGTGAAGGTTGCAGATAGTCCCTGGTTGATCTGATCTCGAAGGATTCGCTCGGCACCTTGGAAATTAGTTCCGTTGTCTGAAAAGAATTCTGCTGGTGCTCCACGACGGCTGACAAATCTACGTACACATGAGATAAATGATGCAGTTGACAAGCTGTGCGCTATTTCCAAATGAACAGCGCGCACCGTCAAACAGGTGAATAAAGCAACCCATCTTTTGCAGCTGGATCTCCCTATCTTCACAAGAAGCGGACCAAAATAATCCACTCCAACATAACTGAAGGGACGGACATGATCGGTGAGTCTGACTGCCGGTATAGGAGCCATAGGAGGAATTTGTGGTAGCGACTTGCGGATTTTACAATACTGGCAATTGCGGGAAACCTTCTTCACCACAGAACGGAGTTTCGGGATATCATACGACTGACGAATCTCATTGACAACCGTCTCCATGTTGCCATGCCGATATGTACGATGATACCAATCAATAAGCAGCAGAGTGACTGGGTGATCCTTAGGGAGTAAAATTGGATACCGTGTGTCGTACGGAATATGGCCTGCTGTGCTAATTCGACTATTCTGACGTATTACGCCTTGATCATCAATCACAGGACAATACTGGTATAACACGCTGGATTTTTCTATCATCTTTTGTTCCCCTGTTGGTAGAGTTACATTTTTCGTCAGAGTTAGCAATTCGTCCGTGTACGCCTCATGTTGTACCATTTTCAGAATTGTCACCGTTGCTGCTTGTAGTTCATCCTGTTGAGGGTTTCCAGAGTATTTTTGATGATTTGATCTGGTGTTGTTAACAAAACGTCTCACATAAACCATCATTCTGAGCAGCTTTTCCCAGCGAGAGAATCTTTCGTAGTTGACTACAGGCTTGTATTCTTCGTGGTGCATTATTGACGGCCGCATCTCTTCAGTAGTAGACACTGTTTGTTTCACGGAACGCGGCCACTCTTCTTCTGAAAGCAGCAGAAAATTCGGTCCATGGAACCACTTACTTTCAGCGCTAAAATATGGTCCACTTCCCCACTTGGTCGCTTCGTCCGCTGGATTCAGCTTTGTCGGGACCCATCTCCACTCATCAGCATTAGTAGACTCGAGGATCTCTCCGACCCTATGCTGCACGGAAGGACGGTAGTTGTGCGGATCCGCCAAAATCCACGACAGAGCAGTTGAAGAATCTGTCCAGAGAAACTTCTTGGAGATTTGGACACTGTGGTTGTCTTGAACAAACTTCATCAGTCGGGTTCCCAGCACACAGCCCTGGAGTTCTAGTCTTGGCACAGACAAAGGCTTCAAAGGTGCTACTTTTGCCTTGCCAGCCACAAGAGAGCATTGTGCATATCCTTCGTCATCAATCGTCCGAAAATATGCAGCGCATGAGTAGGCGTTCTCACTGGCGTCAACGAAGACATGAAGTTGGGTGTTAGCGTACGTTTTTCTGGTAGCTTGGTTGAAATAACAACGCGGAATTCGAATAGCTGAAATGCACTCGATCATTTTTACCCATTCTCGCCAAAACTGGTAGGCAGCATCTCCCACTGCTTCGTCCCAATCAGCACCGCTTCGCCACAGATTTTGGATAAGTATCTTACCGTGGATTAGGAACGGTGCTAGCAGTCCCAAGGGGTCATACAGAGTCATAACACACCTTAGTACCTGGCTTTTTGTTGGTCGTCTGTCACTGTCGATGAGTGCGCGAACTTCGTCGCTCATTTGTGTAGAAAAACTGAGTTCGTCGCTTATCGGCGTCCACAACATACCTAGGATGCGTTCAGGCCGTTCTCCATCTATCAAGCTCTTCACTGCTGTCACGCCAGTCGCTCCCAGGGATTGTAGAACGCGTTCACTATTCGACACCCAGCCACGCAAGTTGAATCCTCCGTTACGATGTACCAGACGAACCTGTGCAGCAATATTTTCAGCTTCTTCTTCGCTCTCGAAACTTTCAAGATAGTCATCAACGTAATGACAGTTGATTATGCTGTTTGACGCCTCCGGGTACTGCTCCGAATGCTCCTTCGCGTTCAAGTTTTTTACAAACTGGGCAGAGGCAGGCGAGCATGTGGAGCCAAACATAGCGACGTCCATTACGTAGATTTCTGGTTGACTTGTAGGGGTACGACGAAAAAGAAACCGCTGAGAGTGTTTATCAGCTTCCAGCATCAATAGTTGGTGAAACATTTCCTGAACGTCTGCGGTTACTGCGATTTGATACAACCGAAATCCAAATAGAACTGCAATAAGCGACGTCAATAGATCAGGTCCTTTCAACAGAAACGAATTCAATGATACGCCTTCCACTTTCGCACGAGCATCGCAAATTATACGCACTTTCCCGGGTTTCTTCGGGTTCATGATCGCTCCTAGTGGGACGTACCAGACCTTCCGTGGATTCGCATTCAATAGTTCTTCCGCCGAAGCCTTGTGTGCATATCCCTTATCCAGGTATTCTTGGATTTGGCGATGTAGATTCTCCTTGAGTGTTGAGTTTCGTTCCATACGTCTCTCAAGACATTTCAATCGACACAACGCCAAAGGAAAACTATCCGGAAACTCGATGTCGTCCTGCTTCCAAAGTAATCCGGTCTCAAATCAATCTCCAACGCGCTTTGTTGTACTCTCCAATAGATTCCATGCTCGCAGTTCTTCCTTTGACAAGGCTGCTTTTGACTGCGCCACGCTCACTTCTTCCACGGAGAAATACTGCTTCAATGCTTCGTGTATGTCGCAGTTTGTGGTGCACTCGCACACGTGGAAGTTGTAAGCATCGTTGGAAGAAGCACGTTGTTGTCCGTAAACACACCAACCAAGTCTTGTCTTTACAGCTACCGGACCGGATCCATCACCTTCCTTCACCTTCAATGGTAGAGTGAGCCGCAGATTATCAATCCCAATCAGGAGCTTGGGACTAACATCCTGATATCCTTGCACTGGAACTTGCTTCAGATATTCATATCGTTTTACCGCTTCTTCGAAGTTAAAATTCTGCGAAGGCAGGTTCAGTCGATCGACGGTACGAGCATCTAAAAGCGTAAAGCGTTTGTTTTTGCCCACACCAGAAATCTCAAGTGAAACTTTTTGTGAATTCTTCACGCAGAAAAAATTACCGTCGAAACAAAAATATTTGAGGTAAATTTAAACGTAAATTCAGTTTGTTCTGGCCACAAACATAAACTAGGTTGATTTCAAACGTATTCTACGTTTGAATCCATTGATAATAATGTTTAAAACAAAAATAATGTTACGTTTATTTTAAAAATATTCGTGTTGAAAATAAACGTGAATATTTTTGATTTATTTGAAAACTATATGCAATCAAAAATTAATATGTTTATTTTAAACATGCTTTTCATGTTTAAAATAAACAAACATATTTTGAAATTATTTTAGCATTTGAATGCTGAATAAATCAAAATAAAATGGATAGCAAATTAATGGAAATTCCTGCGATTATGGAAAGTCTGTGGATGTTTGGATCCGGGGGGCCGTCGGGGTGGGTGTCCGATCCGATCCAGTTCAGTAAAACTGGTGAAACTTTGTGATATTAGCGTCATTTTGTCGTTTATGACGCTGGTCCTCATACCGGCCTCTTTCTACGTTTAGTGTTCGGGGATGATCTGTTTTTCTTTCGACGTCGGGTGGGGGGTGAGGATGATATGGGGATCGGTATCAGAAACGACGGATTGCCGTTAATATTGTGATGTTCCACCGGTTTTGTCGAGCTTGGAACATTGCGTGGGTTTCCGGACCCTCTACTTCGGTTTCGCCGCTTGCAGGCCGTTTTCGGTTAAGTTTGCCGAATGTAAACAAGAAGGAAAAAAGGACACGCTAAAAATTGACTACCCAGGTTATGTATTGTTGAAATAAACATGCTTTTGAATTTATTCTAAACATACATATTTTTGTTGAGAACATGTTTGTAATTTACTTTGAACTATTCATATTTTTATTTAATAAACATATATATTTTTAACTTAAATGAACAAAATTTGGTTCCGTGTTCTCGTTCCGCGATGTATTTCCTGTCCAGTGGAGACAGAGAGGTTGTGGATTGCCATTCAGTCCCAATTGTGAGATCAGCTCATTTTCCACTAGAGTAATGGAGGATCCTTCATCAATGAAAGCGAAAACATCAACCGAGCCCGACTTTCCGTAAAGTGTGACTGGAATCACCCGAAAGAGGAGATTAGACTCAAGAAACCGGTGAGCATGGTTCTCAGCAATGATCGGAGATGGAGTGTCAGACTTCTTAGCGGAATGAAGAAGTGGATGATGTCGGAATTGACAACCATCGATATTGCATCGACTGCTGCTACGACACGAACGTCTTCCATGTCCGAACAGACAGTTCTGACAAAGTCTCAGTTCACGAATCTTCCGCCAGCGCTCATCCACGTCGAAGTTTTTGAACGTTTCACATTCGCGCAGATAGTGATCCATCTCACTACAACAAAGACACTTGAACCACAAACGAAGTGACAGACGACTTACTCCGAAGAAATTAATTAAAATAATGTGGTTATCTGTAATAGAATTTTAGTCCACCTTCCGCCCCTCACCGCCAGGTTCGCTAGTATTTTCGTTTTGAATTATTTCATGTTCCTTTTGTGTGCAATGATCTGGCAACTCGAGTTCTCGATCGCGTTGACGGGGTGCTGTTTTCTCACTCATCGAAGGAAATTTTGATTAGAGTGAGAAAGTAAGGAACAGTCAGCGCGGGAACCGTGTGCGTTACTATAGGTGCGGCAGAAGGAATGTAGTCGACTCTTTCGTTCTCACGGTGTTGTTACGCATGGTCCAACGTTACGTCACACTAGATTATACATAAGAACGTCGTGATAGTGAAAGAGCTGACTTGTTTCCTTCCGCCTCACCAATCACATTGAGAAACCGATCAACTTCAACTTGCTGAAACGACATGTCTACCGACTCGACAAAAA